GATATGAACTAAGAAAAACATCAACTAAATATACACTAAGCACTAATAACATAAAACACTGAACATCAGCACAAACATGAACATGAGTCTGTGAGCAGATGTGCACGCATGAACACATCAACATGAAACAGATCAGCAGCAACATGAAACAGATCAGCAGCAACATGATGTGATTTTTCACAGTGATTATCCTGATTAGAGGTTGAGTCTAACAGCCTCAGGGTAGAAGCTGTTCCTCAGTCTAGTGGTTCTACACTTGATGCTCCTCAACCTCCTTCCTGAGGGGAGTGGGACAAAAAGTGTGTGTGCTGGGTGAGTGAGGTCCTTCATGATGCAGGTAGCCCTCTTCCTGCATCTAGAGGTGTAGATGTCTGTGATGGTGGGGAGGCTGACTCCGACAGTCTTCTGTGCAGCCTTCACCACTCTCTGAAAAGCTTTTCTTTCTGCAGCTGTGCAGCCTCCATGCCACACATTGATGCTCGAGCACAGGATGCTCTCCACTGCACACCTGTAGAAGGAGGTGAGGACTGAGCTTCCCAGACCAGCTCATCTCAGCCGTCTGAGGAAGTAGAGTCTCTGATGAGCTTTCTTGATCAGGCTGGTGGTGTTGTTGCTCCAGCTGAGGTTGTCATTCATGTGTACACCCAAGTACTTGTAGCTGGAGACCACTTCCACCGCAGATCCTCTTATGTTCAGGGGGGTGTAGATGGTTTTGTTCCTTCTGAAGTCCACAATCATCTCCTTTGTCTTCTTCACATTGATGTGAAGGTTATTCTCTTTGCACCAGCTCTCCAGGTGTTCCACCTCCTGCCTGTAGCTGGACTCATCATAGTTTGTGATGCATCCCACCACCACTGTATCATCTGCAAACTTTACAATGTGACGGCCTGGATGGGTAGCTGCACAATCACACGTGAGCAGAGTAAACAGGAGGGGGCTCAACACATATCCCAGAGGAGAGCCAGTGCTGTGGGTTATGGTAGAGGAGGAGAAGTTGTGTATCCTCACTAACTGTGGTCTGCTTGTTAAGAAGTCTAGTACCCAGTTGCAAATGGAGGGGCTTAGTCCTAGTATTCCATTATATATATATATAAATATATATATATATATACTGTATATGTTTTATGTAATTTCTTTTTAATCTGTATTTAATTATTTTATGCTGCTTAAGGCCCATGTGGGGATGTGTGTTGTGAATTACTGTAGGCAGTAAATGTTATTGTGAACAGTATTTTTGAAAATTTAGCACATCCCAATAAATTTGAAAACAAGAAATTAAGTAAAATGAGATCTAATAATGCATATTTGTTATCAGTATGAATTGTAATCATCAATATGGTGCTTTTTTATGTGGCTTTATCTTTACTGTCACAACAGCCTTTTGTGGCTAGTTAATGAACATATAAAAGCTTTTTGGGATAGTTGTCTATTGTTTATCAGGAAAACAAGAAAGCAAAGACAGGTTAAGAACAGGAATCTCAATCTCACCCTCTTTATTATCATGCCAACAGCATCAAAACCATCCCAGTTGAAGAACAGGATCTCTGATTACAACAAAAACAACCAATTACCAGAGCAGACATGCAATTCTTCTGCAAATGTGAAATATGAGGTCCTACATTGACAATCTGACACCCTCTGCACAAGGAGAAGCGGGAAGACGAAAAGGGAGGACAGCAGAAGGTTTTATCTCTCTCTGCAGATGCAAAGAGTCCTTCTTGGACTCCCAGTCAGCAGCTAGGACAGTTTACAAGCCACAAAATGGATTGATTGTCCATGAATCCCTGTCCCTGTGTGTCTGCCAACAGTTAGCTAATTAAAGAATACTTCTCTTGAGAAACACTGAGCAGCAACCAAGCACATCCTATTTACCCTTGAGAAAATGTGCCATTTAAACATCCCTTCGAAGGAAAAAAAAGCTATGGAAAGCTTTATTAAGAAATAGCTTAAGATCCACAGAGCTTTAAAAAAAATGCCTGCATTCTTTGATAACATGCTAATTCTAGAAGACATTAAAAGGAGAAATCCTGGTAATGCTATTGGAAAAATAATCTCTCAACTTGCTAGTAGAGCTTAATAAAAAGTTGGGTGATTAGAGGAACTTTAAAATCAAAGCTGTCTGTATGAAATCCCAGGGAAAATTTTCAGTATGACCTGAAACATGAATTCAGTTCATTATCAATTCATTTTTTTATATAGCACCAAGTCACAACAGAAGTCGTCTCAGGGCACTGAACAAACACATTCATTATAAATGCCAATTATTAAAGTTATCTATCTAAGGAAGGAAGCCACAAACATTAGGTGGAAAAAAACTGCAGTGGAATTTTTCATATTTTGTTATGTTACAACTTTATTCAAAATTACCATACTTTCCGCTGTATGTCACACCTTTTTGCATAAATTATCTAGCCCTGTGACTTATTTATGTTTTTTCCCATATTTATACACAAATTTTTGGCCAAGATCAGATTCATAAAGCCACTTAGAAAGGTCAAGGTCGAGAGCTTCAAGTCTTTTTGTAAGATATTCCAAGAAACAAGAGCAGAGTAGGAGAAGGCCCTTTTGCCTAGTTCAGTCCTCACTGAGGGAACACTGCAGGTAAAAATGTCCTGAGATCGCACGCTGTAGCTGCACTCACACAGAGACATGTAAGAGGAGATGTATGAAGGCAGCAGGTGAAGAAGTGATTTAAAGATGAAAATGTACCAGTGAGAGAGTCTGCGTGAAGTTAATGATGACCAGTTAACCAGTGAATACAGGGTGTAGTGGTGAGTACGATAATCACAGCCAGTTATGAATCTTAGTGCACCATGATAGACAGCATCCAACATCTGCAGGGTTCTTGTAGGAGCGTTCATGTAAATAATGTCACCGTAATCAATGGAGGGAAGGAAGGTCACAGATACAAGGCGTTTCCTAGCATTCAGGGTTAGACAGGATCTGTTTCTGAAAAAAGAAACCCAGTTTAACTTTCAGTTTCTTTACCAAGTTTTCCACATGGAGCTTAAAAGAGAGATGTGAGTCGACCAAGATACCCAAATATTTATAGGAATCAACAAACTCAATGGGGACACCATTTGAGGATAAAATCGGAGGAAGAACTGCTGGGACCAACTTCCTATTTGAAAAAAGCATCCCTTTCCTCAGATACCTTCAGAGATGTTCAATCAGATTCAAGTCTGGACTCTGACTTGGTTACTCCTGGACATTCACTGAGTGGTCCTGAAGCCCTTCCTTAGAGATGGTAGCCATGTGCTTTTGGTCGTTGTCCTGCTGAAAAATGAACCGTCGTCCCAGTCTGAGGTCCAGAGCGCTCTCGAGCAGGTTTTCATCCAGGAAGTCTCTGTACATTGCTGCAATCATCATTCCCTCTATCCTGACTAGTCTGCCAGTTCTTGCTGCTGAAAAACATCTCCATAGCATGATGCTGCCACCACCATGCTTCACTGTAGGGATGGTGTCGGCCTGGTGCCTGGTTTGCTCCAAACATGACGCCTGGCATCTGCACCAAAGAGTTCAGTCTTTGTCTCATCAGACCAGAGAATTTTGTTTCTCACGATCTGACAGTCCTTCAGGTGCCTTATGGGAAACTCTAGCTGGGCTGCCATGCACCTTTTATTAAGGAGTGGTGTTTTGTCTCTCCACAGGGGAATGCTTGCGCTCTGACCGAGGGACCATCATGTTCTTGGTCACCTCCCTGACAAAGATCCTTCTCCCCCGATCACTCAGCTTAGACAGTTGGTCAGCTTTAGGAAGAGTCTTGGTGGTTTCAAACCTTCCATTTACAAATGGAGGCCACTGGACTCACTGGGACCTTCAAAGTAGCAGATTTATTTTTTCTATATACTTCCCCAGATTTGTGCCTCAACACAATCCTGCCTCTGAAGTCTACAGACACTTCCTTTGACTTCATGCTTGGTGTTTGTGCTCTGACGTGCACGGTCAACTGTGGGACCTCCTACAGACAGGTGTGTCTTTCTAAATCAACTGAATTTACCACAGGTGGACTTCATATAATTTGTAGAAACATCTCAAGGAGGATCAGTGGAAACAGAATACATCTGAGCTCAATTTTGAGCTTCATGGCTAAGGCTATGAATGCTTAATGTAAATGTGATTTCTTAGTTTTCTATTTTTAATAAATATGCAAATAAAATGTTTTTACATTGTCATATTGGGATATTGTGTGTAGAATTTTGAGGAAAAATATTAATTTAGAACAATTTGGAATAAGGTGGTAACATAAAATGTGTAAACACTGAAGCACTTTGAATACTTTCCAGATGCACTGTATGTGTCTGTTATCACAATCTGTCATGGACCGCTGGGTACATTTTAATGAAACTTTCAGAATGCAAACATTAAATGAACATCTGGAACTGATGGAGTCAACATGCTTTCAGGTGGCTTCCTCAGTCAACTTGCATTAAAAAGCACAAAGAATCCTATAAACCAGTGAATTTGACAGATAATGACATAATATTTGGTTTGGCAGTAGCTGAGACTGATCCACAACACACATTCTGAGAGTTAACAGATTGCATAAGAACTGTGTGTAAAAGTTTACAATTAACTATTTAGAGTCAAGTCTGTTAGCAATATATGTCATAAACTTGTGCACATATTTTAGTGAAACCTTTAAAAAATAATCACATGATTTGCATCTACAGCTTACTACTGGAGTCAACCCAATTCATGATAGTCACCAGCGTTAGTCAACATTAGCCAACATAAAAATGCCTGTAACATGGATAATTTTACAGACGTTGAGCTGTGATGATAACTGAGTCACTGACAGCATATAAGGAACATCTTGCACTATTGTATGATATGATGCACAATAACTTTTTCAAGGTTTTAACCTGAACGGCTCATTCAGCAGATCATCATAAGGTGATCTTAGTCTAAAACTCTGGCATGAAAGCAACTGGTGATGTGCGTTCCTAGAAATCTTTGTTTAATGATTTAGTAATGTGTTTACATGAATGCAGACATACCAGTGCAGGAGTATTCGTCCACTCTGATGAAACCTGGTAGACATTCACAACGATAACTGCCAGGCAGGTTTACACACACCGTGTTGGACTGGCAGTAGTGCATCTGTGTTGCACACTCATCGATATCTGAGGAAAAACAGAGCAGATCGAGATTATTACCTCTGTGACAGTTCGTTAAAGACAAACACTCCTTGAGCGACTGTGTGAAGATGATGAAGGAAGTTTATTGGGCTGCGTTTTCTATTCTGCTCTAACCACATTTTAGCAGCAAGCCCTCGGAAATCACTTCTTTGAGTTGTGTCAGTGACAACTAGTGTGTGAATTATACAGTAACAATCGTGGGGTTGATTATTTTTCTACATGAAGACAATGCTGCTCAAAACAGATGTATTTATGGCTGATGTCTTAAAATTATTCCAGTGTCTGTTTTTTGGTTTAAGGTTGTCTGCCACCTTTAACAGAGATATATTTACAACAAATGACACACTTGGAACAAAACACAAAAAACTTTGTAATCCAAAAGTCAACTGGCTCAGGAGAAGTGGTCATCTACCTCAACCGGCTAGGGTTTGAGAGGAAAATAAAATAAAAAAATACCTGAAATTCAAAACCCCCACAGATCTTAATTTGCAAAACTGTAGCTGAAAGCTAAAATTAAAAATGTAGCTAAATTCAGAATGTAGCAACTAAAGGCTAAAATAGGCAAAACCGTGGCTAAAGGTTAAAAATAGCAAAACCATAGCTAAAAGGTAAACTTAGCTAAACTGTAACTAAAACAGCAAAACAATGTTTAGCCAATAGAAGCTAAACAGTTGCTTAAAGCTACTATTAGCAAAACAGCTCTTACTACCTGATTGCAGAAACACAGAAATAAATTTAAAAAAAGCTTAGCAAAGGTGTAACTTAACAGCAATTAATAAAATCATAGTTTTAAGCTAATAGAAGAATAACAAGCTAAAATTAGAGCAAACATGTCGAACAACATTTTTTTTTTAAAAACTGAAAGGATCGCAATGATTTTCCATAGGAGATTTTGTTGTACTGTAAATAAGGTTTAACAAGTAAAAAGCATAAAAAGTGCAAACACTAAGCACACCATTCTCAATGAAACCAAATGGTTTGATGTATGAAGGGTTAAAATGGCACCCACGTCATTTGGTTATGAAAATGCACAAGATAAACCATAAACATGGAAACAATAGGGGCTGAGTGCTGAGTCAGCATTCACACAAATAATCAATAAGTAACCTAGGCCAACATTTTGATTAATCTGATAAAAATAAAAAATTAAACATTTTATAAGAATATGAAGAGGCAATACTCCAAAAGCTCAAATGTTTATAACTGACTTAGTTTGAGCTTTTCCGATATGTTTCCCCAAAAGATTGGCACGTCAAAAGTGTTTGTGGTTTTATAACTTTTTAAATCTGCTTTCCTGTCAAAGACAGAAAAAGGATCTTTAAAGAGACTCCTCATATTAGTTCAGAAGTGTTAAGACAGAAAACACAAGCTTAAAGTGGATTTTTGCTTTACAAAATATTTGGGAGAGTCTAAGTCTCAAATGAAAAGGTCAAACTCTGCCCTTTCCCTCTAATTTGAACTATGTGCACAACTAAAACCAGTCTGAAAGATTGATCATTCTTCCAAACAAACAAACAAAAAAAACAACTTTTTTTTCCCTTCAAAATCTCAATAAATGTATAGAAAAAAGATGGAAAAGAAGGAACAGTGTCACAAAGAGAAATCAACAAAAGACCTTAAAGAAAGAAGTTTAAAAAAGACCATCAGTAGACAAAATCCTGTAAAGGGAAATAACGTCACCTCAGGAAACCAGAAGAAAAGCAGCGAGGGCATCATCTCTCCTAACATCCATTATGCACAGCTAATATCAAGATAAATGACACCTTCTCTTTATACACAGATCTCCTCTTCTTCTAATGTAGCTTGAAAGACATGGTATGGGCATTACAACACGTGGCTCAGGAACGCATTAGCTAGAGCTGCATGATTGCTGATGAAATGGGATGTGAAACACACGGGGGCGGCTTTATGCAAAGGGGTTTAGATTTCTATGCGCATGCACGTGTATTTGCACAGTTTAAAGCACTTCTATGTGCTGCAGAAAACCAGATTCCTGAGGCTAACAGGTCTTTTTACCACTTAGGGGACATAGCCTGCCACACTTGAGGGAAAAAGAGTGAGAGGAGAAATCTCCATATCCTTTCTCTGGATAAATATGTTTTAGCCTCGAGGTGTTCGGCTCATACTTTCCCTTTCCAGCAGAATGAATGTGGATGAAGTATGTAATTGACTTATATGCAACACCAGAAGGTTTTTTCTTGGTAAATTTCATCCTTAGTAAGCATTCATCCAGAGTGCTGAATTGCACAAAAAAAGATCATGTACTTAGGTGTACAAAGCCTCGATAGCCTTGAGCATAAAAGCCATTGATCTGCCACATCGAAAAATATGAGACTTATTTGAGTGCTCTGAGGCTGCGAAGCAGTACCTGAATCAAATTTTCATCCTGTTCAGAAGCACTACTCCACCTTAAAAGCCACTCATTTGATTATCCTTTATTGGTGAAATGCACCAACGTCTCGTTCAAGGGTGATGGCGGTCGGCCCGAGATGTCGCCGACTTCCAGCCTCAATCATTCAAGAGCTCAGCGCTTCTGTCAGCTTTCATTAGAAGTGAGAAAAGCGTTCATTCTGAGGCACGGTGAGGCTTTTTGATCTATGTTGTTCCAAGGTTCTTCTCTTCTGTGTCATGTAAGTAACATTGTGTGCGTGCGCCTGTGTGTGTGTGTGTGTGTGTGTGTGCGTGTGCGTGTGCGCCCTCTGCAGCTTCTTCTGGAGGCAATCTTGCAGGTGAGGTCTGCTGACAGAACTGGAACTGTCATTTTACACAGGGGGATTTCTTTTTTTTTTCCGGATTTGCCAGCGTGTCTCTCTCTCTCTGCTTTCTTCATCCCCTCTACAAACCAGACCTTCTCTTCCTCCTTGCCTGCCCGCCCCCCCTCAGAGCACATTCTCTTCATCTCTCTGCTGCTTTATTCATGCTCTGATGTAGGTCAGGACTGGGTAGGGGGAACAGCTAAAAATAAGACAGGATAGGACTCAGTACACCAGCACAACCCTCTCTGTGTATTAGTGTGTCTGGCACAAACAGAAATATGGAACAATTTAAAAAAAAAAGAGGAAAGCCTGAGTCTGAACGTGGAGTGTTTGGGTGCTGCGAGGCAGGAAGGCTGACAACTGCTTATGTTTTCCATGTCCACGTGTTTCTGTGTATGTGTGTGCCTCACCTCTTCATGTAGAGGTTAATGGAAACAAGCTTCTATCCAACAATATAATTGTCTCCGTCTGGTAGAAACTCTTTATTTTCTTTAGTCTAATAACCCTGAAGAGTGTGAGGGTGTAAAACGAGTGTGTAGTCCAGATCTGGCCCAATGGAGCAGATCAGTAACTTCGAGCAGGCTGTTTCCGAAAAGTCCATTCGATGCTAATGTTTGTCTTAATGAGAAATGGATGGAGATACATTTAGAAACAAGTGTCTTTTAAAATGGGGGGATGAGGCGGTGACCGACATAGACCCCCCCCCCACCACCACCACCACCACCCCCCATCACCACCACCAGAGAACAGACAGTACCCGTTCACCCCCGGAACCCTTTCCCAGAGCCCTAAATGTCCACATGCTACATATGGGAGTGGGCGCAGGTACTGGAGGGGAGATTGATTACACACCTCACCCCCTGCATGCCATCGTGTGCCCACCCCAAGACCCGATACATGTGTGTTTCATGAAAATGTTATAAGTGAGTGTCTAAGTTGTATAATAAAATTGGGGCTCAGGTCTCGACGGGACCATGGAGATGGAGGATCCTCCCTGCAGCTCAGCGGCGCACCTGCACCCCTAGGCCCTGTTTGAGTGGTGGTGTGATGGAGCGGGTGGCGGAAGGTGGTGGGGATGGGGAGGAAAAACTGAGGTGGCAATTGCCCTTTCAGGGAACCAGCTTCCCCACTGACCCCAATAGGCACCCCCATTCACCGAGATCCACCAGGGATCTCAGTGAACAGGGGTGCCTATTGGGGTCACCAGGGATCCACCAGGGATCACCAGGGATCCACCAGAGGCTCCAATACATCCACCCAAGAGCAGGTGCAACCACATCATCAGGGACCAAGGCCATAGACTGGCACAGAGACCCGAGCACTGACCAGGACTGGGGTCAGTGACCCAATCCTCCCCGGAACTGTCCAGACCCCCAAACCTGACCCCCAGTCCAACACTCAGCCCCCGACCAATGAAGACTTTAGACTTCAGAAGTCTTCACAGGATTTGTTTGGTTCTCTAAAGTTAAACGAGTGGAGCTTGGTATCTGAATAATGCCAGCGTTTCTGTTTGAGTGCCTGCTCGCCGTAACACAACTCCATTTTGACTCCATTCAGCGGCAGACTGGCTGTCACACAGCAGGGTGTTGTCATAATTTGTCAACAAGACCAGCATTTAGAGGGAAAGCAAAAATGAAATGTGCATGTTTAAAGTGATAAACATGGTCTATGTTTTGTTAAATTACGTCACTGTCTGAGTAACCTTGTTACCATGGTAACATGGGAATAAAGCAGCATGCTGTTAATGTGAGAAGTAAGCATACTGTGGGATTTATTTTTTATAAAGCTCCAAAACACATTTTTAGATCTACTGGAAATAACAGAAACATTTATATTGATTAAAATTCAATTTCAAAGAGAATTTTATATTTTAGTCATATTTGTAGATACTGTAATTTTGAATTGACCATCTTATTTGTGAAAGCACAAACCACATACGGACATCTAGCTATGATGTACTTCAAAAAACTAATGTAACATGAGCTACAGACATGAGTGAAGTAAAAAGTAAAGTTGGACTTATAATGGGGTTTTTGCTAAAATACCTTCTTAAAAACCGCCTTGTTATTTTGCCTTCAGCTAAAAGTGAAGGCAGTCGATAATGTTGTGTGTGTGTGTGTGTGTGTGGGGGGGGGGGGGTATTTGGATTCAGCAAGTGGCCAACAAGATGGCTGCCATAGTAGAGATCTTAGCAATCACAAATGCCTATTAATCAGTCAGTTTTACAGA